AACAACACTTTATTTTGAAAATTCTCTTCAAGGCCAAAATGTGAAAACCTAAAAATAAAACCTTGGTCAAGCTCTGTGTTTACAGGCTTAGGTATGCTCATATTTCACTTCCCAGTATAAAACGATTCCCACTATCTAGGGACAGCTGTGTCGGTGTAAGAATCCATGGATCTCGAGTTTGAGCTAATCTAGCTGCCTTTGAGGTCGTCATGAGTAACATGATGGTCCACAGCTATCCAGCAACCAAGCTGCATTCCTTCTACTACTGTGAGGGTATTGAATCAATGGAGCCAAGGTCTGATACAATAGAAATGGGAAAAGAGACTTTAATGTAGTTACCCACAAGAGTGACAAACATCAGACTGAACACCTCTCAGATGTCAGCCTGGTTACTCTGACCATTTAAACTCGATGACATCAACATCTCGTTTCAGATACAAGTCAAGCAAAGAAAATAATTTCTACACCTCACAGAAGAGTGCACTTTTTGCCTCCAGCACTTATACACAGTCTTCATTCTCATCTCCAATGAGTTGCTTTCCACTGTTATCAATGATTAGAAATTATTCAGAAAACTCGATATTATAGAAGCATTTCAATCTGCTGATCGAAAACATTCCATCATAAGCAAACAAAACCTGAGTACACCAAATTTACATTTGTCATACCAGCTGCACTGTTTATGAACCTCACTTTACACAGATAGTTTCACTCACTCAGTAACATTTCAGATCGATCTAACTGAAATGTTGCTGCTCAAAATTCGCAAAAGACATAAAATCCCGTTTCCCTGCAAAAGTGGCGTGAGTCTTCTATTGATGGCATCCACTTCGCGAAAATTCAATATATTTTAAATGTCCCAAACTAAAACATTCACACAAGCTTAAATGAAAACAACAGCTTACTGTTTCTTCAAATAATGACTTATAGGAAAGCTAATTTCATAAATATATGCAGCATTGAGATAAAACTCTAGTATTCACATTCAAGTCTTTACTCTCTGTTATGTTTTCAGTGACTGGTTTATTTTGTTTTGAACAATAATTATGCATTACTATGTTAAGAGTTTCGTATGCATATTCCACACGGAATACACATAATCTTAAATGCATACTTACATACACATGATGCTGCGATATCTATAGATCATCACATACAATATTAGCTTTTGTCAGGTTGCCTCAGGCATGTGTGGCATTACCATAGTAATGTATAAGGGCTACTTACATAAACCAAGGGTCTGTAGTTACAGTTTGGTAGTGTTCTGTAATTTGTAAATGGTGAATCTCAACAGTTTTGCAAGGTACACGAGTGATAGTTGTACTATGTAATAAATGCACGGTATATTACATTACTACCCAGGGGCTTGGAAACCAAGGCTCGCCCTTTCAGTCATTAGAGGCATGACCAAATGGTCATCTTAGCTTTGACAATCAAGTGGGAAATTACACAAGTGAATATCATTTGATAATTTGGAAAGTAAGGATTGCTACTTCATTTCAGTCATTGTTGTACAAATCAGCAACTGTCCTGACTACTAGCTTGTTATCAAGTGATAAGGGAGCCAATGTGAGCGTTTCTGTCAACCTTTACAGTTGTGAATCTGCCTCATTCACCACTTGATTGAATCAAACTCTAGGCCATGAAGATTCAGTGTCATACATAATACTGCCTGCCCTCAAATCTGCTCATTCCACGCAGTGATCTGTCTGAAATAATCCAGGGCATGATCCAACAATCCAATGGCTACTCTCTCTCACCTCAATCAATGGGGGAGAGGTCTGCCTCACCTCCAACAGTTCATGTGGTTTCAGCATGAATCTTTCCCTGGTGGATTCAAGGCCCATTTCGGATAAGATGGTCTGTTTCCACAGGGAAGTTGTCGAGTAGACAAGTTGCAGAAGCTCTATACTTGGACAAACATCGACTTCATTCCTTGGACTCACTGATCAATGAGGTGTTTAACATGCCTCATCTACATGCCGTACATATTCCAGGCCTAGAAGATGTGAGTTCGCTAATTGGCCACTAATTGTCTTTCTTGAAGAAAAAATAGTGCATGATATCCTGGATTTTTAAAGTTATCTTTCCTGGTACTAAATTAAATAAGGGTCATGGGCTGCAGCTTCTTAAGGATTGACTCTTATTGGACATAGATCTTGAATGTAAGGTGCATTTCTCATGCAAATTTGTAAGTTTGGCTGCTAATCTCTTTCCAAAGGAATACAGTACTTGGTCATTTCCCCAAAATTTCCCTTACGTAGTATTCATGCTAAAATGGATTTCCTACGGAGATTCCAGTTCGACACTCTAACTAGAGATTCAGAGAATACTGGACTGTGAAATATGATGCACTCTCCTCAATTGGGAGGATCGAGAAGAAATCAACACTGGAAGTTTGACAAAAATATGTAAAAAGTCCTCAAATTCTAAAACTTGTCTTGCAAGGGTAAACCTGGCTTTATATACAAAAACAAAATACAAAACAAAGTTAAATGAATTGCATAAGAAATGCACTTTACATTCAAGATTTATGCCCAATGAAAGTCGAGCTCTAGAGAGCAGCGGCCCCTGACCTTTATCCGATTTAGGGACAGGAAAGATAACTTCCTAATTCTGGACGTCATGTGCTACCTTCTATGAGAAAAGTCAATTAATTGTCAATAAGCAAACCAACACCTTGCATATTTTACAAATATAGAAAATTGAAGAATTACATGAGCGAATTTTGGAGTATAAACTGGAGAACTCTGAAAAACAACAATTATTACTGTCCTGTACGCATATGATGTTAACGTACCTTAGATCTAATTCTTATGTATGTGACGTTTGACGATATAATTCCTGCCATATTGAGCATATTCATATGGAATACAATGAACTCCTTGTTCTTGCACTTTACGTAAGATAGTTTTTTTTTAGTTTAACAATAAACCATTTATCTCACGTGTAGGCTTGAAACAATTCTTGCATCAGATCTCGGATTTCAAAATGACTCATTAAAGCCATGGAAGCAGCATAAGGCTTTCTATAAATGCTATAAACTATCTTTCTTCTACTCTTTTTCCCTTTAATATCTAAAAAACGAAGTTAGAGTTACATTATTTATAAAAAAAATTTATATATGTTAATATGAAAACAGTAGGAGATAAAATAATTATTAGCGTTTAAAAAACGTATTATGTTCTTCCATCCAGCCATACAACAGATCAAATAATCATATATCACAGACAATTTCTTCTTCTTATGTTTTTGTAAACAGAGGCAGGCAATTTTATGTTTTGAAAGAGGATTTTGGATCTAAACTCAGGTACTTAAGAACTGTTACATTGTCTAGAGGCATAATCCTAAATCGTGTATATATTGAAACTAATAATTTCATGTTTCCCTTATCACTAATCAGAAAAAACATTTTAAGTTCCTCCCATTTCATTTTGTACCAGAAGTATTAGACTTAAGGGCGATCATTTAAAGATATAAATTCTTATAATTGGTTCATTGCCAAACCAAAAACTGTTTTACGTAAAGAGCAAAACAAGGAGTATCTTGTATTCCATGTGAATATGGCAGGAAATATATTGATCGAACCTCACATTCATTAGGAACTTGATTTAAGGAACATATAGGTCATATTTACAAGAAGGTATTTGAAAGAAATCTACCTTAGATACGCTTTAGTTAGATCATAGTCATAATATAAAATCAATGAGATTTCTATTCTACATCAAACAAAGTTTGATATGGTAGGTGATTATTTAAAACCTATAGAAATTTTAAAAGCAGATTTGGTTTTAAGCCGTGATGGTAGTCCTGCTAGTATAAGTAAGATTTGGTTTAATTTGTCCTCGTAATTTATCATTTAAACTATATTCTTTTCATATGTCTCACTCCCTTCCCTTCTGTAACTATGACATGGCGTTACACGTAACTTTTATAAACCTTTTACAAGCCCATTTTCCAGTCGAAAAAATGTCGTACTTTTAATAAACTATTGTGCAATTTTAATCATTATTATCACCATTTTACTAATATCTCTTGCACATAGTACTTCCCCAGATATATTCATAATTTTACTAGGTCAATCTTCAATAATAATTGTTAAAATGTTACTTATGAATCAAGCACACTTGAGAAGTTGAGGAGTAAGCAACACAGTCACATTGTGACCGAACAATTCATCAGTTTTCTTCAAATGTTATTAAATATTCATAAGTTAGAATATATCTTGATGTATATTACTGTTTGTTTTCATTTCTTTATAAAAAGTGACAATAATTTTGATATTGTAGGTCACTAGGAGGGGAGGACAGTACCCATGAATATGGCGTTCTTTTTACAGTAATATGCGTAAAAGCTGATTGTTTGGCTCCTCAGTCTCGTACCGGCTTCGAGTATTCCATACATGGGCATCAACTCCAAAGTGTTATTTGATTGGACGCCACTGAATACGAATTTTGTAAAACCACTCGCGCCGGTAACAGGATCAGCCAATTGAGAACGCTCGACAGAAAGTGGTCGGTTGATTCATATTACCAAATATGGTATAGAGCGATAACTATGCATGTTGAATTCTGAGTGTACGAGTACATTAGAATTAATATACGAAAATTAATTTCTAAAATACTGTGAACTTTTTCGGATCTTCACCCACAAAGCGTTTTAGTTAAAAATTGCACATTTTAAAAGATTGAAAGGAATAAACTATAAGGAAATTTCCTTTAGGACACAATACCCAAAATATAATTAATTTAAAATATAATTTATTTACAGTTACGAGAAACCTCATGTTTTGAAACTTTTATAGATTTAATCATAACATAATAATGTTTTCTTTATATTACCTATTTATCTAGTTAAAATAACATATATGACCTATGTGTTTTAGTCTTTTTCAGATAATTTATCAGGTTTCGTAAGACCAGCCACTGGTGGCGCTAGTATCTGACGGAAAGTTAAATAGAAAAGTACACGAAAGAGGAGGTGGTTAGTACTTTGAGTTTCTCGCTTGGCACGAGTGGTGGGTAGTACTAATTTATACGAAAACTTTTGAACAACATGTGTGAAGAGGACGTTGCCGCTCTTGTAGTAGATAATGGTTCTGGAATGTGTAAAGCCGGCTTTGCCGGAGATGATGCCCCTCGTGCTGTTTTTCCATCGATTGTGGGTCGACCAAGGCATCAGGTAAAAACAAAGTTTTTATTTTTGAATAATGAGATTTTAATCTGTTTCGAAAACGTACTTTTCTGTAGAAATAGTACTCAGAAAACTTAACAAGTAAGCTTATGTTTAACCAAAAGAAATAATAATACATTATTCTGGATTATATTTATTTTTCACTTTCAAGTTTCAATGACAACACACTATACTCAAGTTTCAGGAGCAAAGCTGACGCTGTTTGATTAACTTGTAATTCAGGACGCATCTTGCGTATCCACACATTTTCTTTAGTGCGTAGCATTTCTTTACTATCCGCACTCACCCAAGATGTTAAGTATTTTGAAGTGACACTTGTGTCACAATCCTGTAAACAGTGACACAAATGCCACTTCAAAACACTTTAAGTTTAACACCTTGGGGAGTGCGGATAGTAAAGAAATGCTACGCCATAAATAAATTTTGTGGATCCACAAGATGCGTTCTGAATTAAGTGTTAATGAAACACTCCTCTCTAATTTTACAGTACAGTTGACTTAAGAGATGAGTGTTTGTATATCTTATGATATTTAATTCGGTAATTCAATGTTTTAACATAGTTCTATACTGTTGCTGATGGTATCTGCTCTGAAACTGGCACATTCTTTCTTGACTTACACTGGCAACATAGGCATACTGTCGTATCTACTTTAGTTTTGAAAAAATCGCTGTGTCTTTGGTACTTATAACTTCGTACGTAGCACTTTTGTTTTAAAGTTTCTGAAAAATTCTACGAATTTTTAAGCTTCACAACATTACTATTTGTACAGTTTCAAAGTGTTGGTTTATTTGCAGTTTGAATTGGGTAGATATTATCCACTTCAGTTGAAAACTATTATCTTTGAACTTGGGGTGATTTTTGTTACTCTTGATAATTCGGAAAAATTCAAATGTTAGAATTCTAAATGCGTTTCACTGCAAAACTGTAAATGTTAGGTTTCTTAACAGTGTATGCAAATTTAATTAAAACTCGTTTAATTAAAGTTAAACTTAACTCCTTGAACTAAATGTTATTATGACTTTATGAATAACCAGGTTCACTGCGATATTAAGTTGGTTAGAGTGAGAGCTAACACATCGCTTAATTACCATTAGAAAGGTGTGTGTGGAGAGGGAGGGGGAAGAGTAAGTTCATAGAACTTAGTCGCAGTACTTGTATATATTTGGCTAGAAATGTTTCAAAATTATTAGTCACATTTAATTAACGAATCATGTATTTCATACACATCTTTTTTTCATTTTTATGAAATCGGATTTTTTATATCAATGAAATGTTACAGTAACTAGAGATTTATATGTATGTGTGTGTGTGTGTGCTTAAGTTTGTTCAGTACTGGTTACTGTTATTTGTATTCGCAAAGCATTTATAATTTCATGGCACGTTACAAACGAATACTTTGCTTGCATAGGAATATTTGAATACAAAATATGAATATTTAATTGTTTTTGTTTTCTTCGTGCAGGGTGTGATGGTAGGAATGGGTCAGAAAGACAGTTATGTCGGCGATGAAGCCCAAAGTAAGCGTGGAATCTTAACCCTGAAATACCCTATTGAACATGGCATCGTTACAAATTGGGATGACATGGAAAAAATCTGGCACCACACTTTCTATAACGAGCTTCGTGTAGCACCAGAGGAGCACCCAGTCTTGTTGACAGAAGCTCCTCTCAACCCTAAAGCTAACAGAGAGAAAATGACCCAGGTATGTGTACGATTTTTTGTCCGCCGAAATAACTATTATATTTCAAATTGATGAAACATTTTTTTTGGTTTTTAGCATACTTTGTATCTCAAACTAGTAGAACATGTTCATGTATTGTATAAATTAAATCAATGAGGTTAAAATTTTTTGGATACAAATTATATGAAAAGTTGTATCAAACCTTCTGGTAAAACCTGTCATATAAAGTTCGTAAATTATTTGATATATACATAGTTTAATTGTGAGAGTAGGTTATAACGAAATTTGAAATCCATATAGCTGCTTTACTGATTTTTCCAGATCATGTTTGAAACTTTCAACACCCCAGCCATGTACGTTGCTATCCAGGCTGTGCTATCCTTGTATGCCTCTGGTCGTACAACTGGTATAGTGCTGGACAGTGGTGATGGAGTATCTCATACTGTACCTATCTATGAAGGCTACGCCCTCCCTCATGCCATCTTGCGATTAGACTTGGCTGGTCGTGATCTTACCGATTACCTCATGAAGGTCCTTACCGAACGAGGGTACAGTTTCACCACTACTGGTAAATGATTTTGTTATGTTTTAAATCTTACATGAAATTGGTTAGGTTGTACTTGATAAGGTATCGTTTATTGATAGGACTAAAGTTGTTGAAATGCTGTTAGTTTATTACAGAATTTCTGGGTGACAAACTGATTACACAGGCCTGCGATGGGTTTATTATCTTACTTTTTTACATGTTCTACAGTGATTCCTGTTCACTGAATCTGAAAATGATATCCATTTTATCTCCATCACGTACAGATTTTTCAAAAACGTAAATGTACTTTTACATAAGTGAATAATTTTCATTGAAATCGGGTCACTA